AAGATAATATGTTACAGGATCATACCATAGAGGTAGCTCTAAGACTAGTAGGTCCCGAAGAAATGTGCTCAACTTTTTGGCTCAGCTCTGGTACTATCTTCGGTCCCAAGCTAATCGATTCACCCCTCGAAACATAGGAAGATCCAATAACCAACAATCAATACAAACTAACGATTTTAAAATGGCTCACCACTTTAGTAGCCTATTGGTCCCAAGCAAACGATTAACGTACCCTATTCTAGTCGAAATTCTAGTACTAAGCAATGTTTGTTTTGATTCGCTATGAAAGTTTGACAGATAAAATGAGTACAAAATCTTACAAAATAGGAAGTACGGGAAAAGATCTATTAAGAGGTTTCTTGATATCCCATCAACATGATGGTTTCAAAATGTGGTTCAGTAATATTTAGCCCTCTGGTTGTCAGGCACATATACAGTACTTGTTCGCTAACTGGGCGTTCTTTAAGTGGGCTGCTTCTTAACTGGACGTTTGTTAATTGGGCTGTAGCCCTCTTCTTCTTATTATTATAATACTTCTTCTTCTTCTTCTTCTTTTTCTACTACTTCTTCTTCCTCTTCCTTCTTATTCTTCTTCATTTTCTTCTTTCCATTATTTAGCGTCGGTCTCTGTTCCGCAATCTAGTGCCAATCACCGACGGACATCGATTGCCATCCATTGACGGCAATCGAATGTGCAGGAAGGCAGCTTCCACACCTGCGTAGGATATCGCACCCATTCAACAACACATATGGGCCGGGACCAACGGCTTTACTTCCCTTTCGAAGGAAGACGTGAACAGGGATTATTATGCCTCAGAAAAATTTGGGATTGAACCAAGACCCATTGGGGTGAGAAAGCAGTCACGCTTATCAGGCATGGCACCAGTTACATTCATTTGCTTTAAATCAAATCTGTATCTCTTATATATGATGACCCAGAGCGAACAGAACCAACCCTTGTTTTTCAGTGAATGTAAACTGCATTCACCGTAAAACAAAAACAAGTTCTGCCCACTCTAGTTCGTCATAGATTTGAGATTTTGACAAATGTTGAAGCTAACATCAAAACGTACAAAAGCTAAATTAATCATTTTACGGAATTTTGTTTATGAAAAAGTTAGAGGCAAATTAATGTAATTGAATACACAAAATGAATGTAAATGATTTACCATGCCTGACACTTACCACTACGCCGTAGGATTGGGCGATCTTGGATCGATCTTTGGAAGATTGATCTTTTTCATCCCGATTTCCGATTTTTCGGATCGATTCTTTGTCCACGAAAAGATCAAAAAAATCGATCTCTATTTTCGATCTTCAAAAGAATAGATGTTAATTTTTTAGAGTGTATTTACATCGAAAAAACGATTTACTCTCACCCCAGTCTGCGTGGTAAATTTAAAGGACATAACGTCAAAATCAGCATCACTCCCTACAATGACGTCACTATTTGCATTTCCGATATTTACGAATACAGCAACATTTGAAGGATTTTCTACCTCCCTCCTGTGCTCATTGCTCTTTACCGTCACGACAACATTTATTTGAATATTATAAAGGAAAGAGTTTCTTGGGATACCAACGAAAACAAGCGTATTCAATAAAAATCAAAAGATCTATCTACCAAAGATCGATTCTTTGGTACTGATTTAATCAGTGGATCGATTCTAGAGCCAAATATAAGATCGATCCGTCAAGATCGATCTTTCTCTGAAGATCGCCCAATCCTACGCCACCGGCTGCACGCTGACGTCACGAATGAACGCGATGAACCCACATTCATCAGTTTGACATCCAGTGGTGGTTTGTTTACCTTTGCTTGTTAGTCAATTCAAGTGGATTAGAGGTTTTAAATAAAAAGAATTAAAACATATGGTATCCGACTATGTTCGTTTGAAAAATATTCCTCTCCAAAAAATCTAAAAAAACCTTTAAATAAATTTTATAATTTTTTTTCTAAGTTCATGTACACAAACCACTGCCAGATGTCAAAAAAGTGAGGTTAACCCGACGGTGCAGCTCCCTATAGCCCTCTTAACCCAGTTAAACCAGGGGCCTGGCTGGCGGCCATGTTTTTGATGCTGTCATCTGCTCTTGTCTTCCTGCTTATAATACGATTTTCCGTCCCTTTCCACCATGTATACGTCAGGCAGGCCGTATTTAAATAAGGCCCGTGATGTTGTCTACTGTCAAACGTATAGGATTGATATAGGGTTGCCAGGCCCCTGAGTTAAACGTCAAACATATACGTCACATTTAGTTTTACATTTCGTTGTGAAAATTGGCGAGGGTTATTCGAATGGAATTTTAGGTGTTAATATAAAAGAAAAATTGAAATTATTTTCTTTGCACACTGAACTCAGGAATTGAACGCATTTTTAGCGAAAGCGTTAAGCCTTTCTAAACTTGCGAAATTGAATGCTGTGAAAATATCAATAACACATTTTACACTGTTTCAAATCAATGTTATTTTTTAACGTCAATCGAACAATCGATTGAAGATCTTCTCAGTGTTTTGTGACGTTTGACAAGGCAGCCCAGTTAGCGAGTCGAATTCGCACTTGGCGAACAAGTACTGTACTATCAACCCAAATAAACAGGTCCCATGCACGAACGAGGGGCAAGGGGCCTCATAGCCTAGTCAGTAAAGGCACGGGGTCCCGAAGAAAATCATTATTATTTTTGGCTCACTCAGTACCAGAACAACGGTCCCAAGCAGTCCCAAGCTATTTCACTCACCCCTGCATGTTCTGCATGAATCCACACACCCCTGATGTTATCTGTCAAACTTTCATAGCGAATCTAAACAAACATAGTGTAGTAATAGAATTTCAACTAGAATAGGGTACGTTAATCGTTTGCTTGGGACCAATAGGCTACTAAAGTGGTGAGCCAATTTAAAATCGCTAGTTTCGTATTGATTCTTGGTATTACCAACAATCAATACGAAACTAACGATTTTAAATTGGCTCACCACTTTAGTAGCCTATTGGTCCCAAGCAAACGATTAACGTACCCTATTCTAGTCGAAATTCTAGTACTACGCAATGTTTGTTTTGATTCGCTATGAAAGTTTGACAGATAACATCAGGGGTGTGTGGATTCATGCAGAACATGCAGGGGTGAGTGAAATAGCTTGGGACTGCTTGGGACCGTTGTTCTGGTACTGAGTGGGCCAAAAATAATAATGATTTTCTTCGGGACCCAGTGGTCTTAGAGTTACCTCTATGGTATTACCAAGCCGGAGGCGGCGGGTTCGATTCCCGGTCCGGTCGAGGGAATCTTTCGGGTTGGAAATTTTCTCGATTTCCCTGGGCGTAGAGTACCATTGTGCTTGCCACACAATATACAAATTCATGCAATTGGTATTGGCATCGAAAGCTCTCAATTAATAACTGTGGAAGTGCATTTAGAACACTAAGTTGAGAGCACGCAATAAGCTAATATGCACTAGCAATAAGCTTGAAATGCGAATAAGAAGAAGAAGATGCACGAACGATTCACAGATGGTGCGACCGTTCCATATAGAGTTGGGGTGATATCCCGAATAGGTGGTTAGGAACTTATTATGGTTATTTTGTATGCGGAAATTTACCCTAATTCGCATTATTTTTTTTCATTTTTATCAGTCTTGATTTGCTACCAAATTGCTTCCATTGCTCACTGAGCCAGGAATACAAGCCAGCGGAGCAAAATTAATAATTCTGAAACTAAGCATTTTCGCGACTTGTTGTCTTGGGCAAAGTTTCTCATCATAATAAGGACCATCTATTGATATAAACAAATAGTTCAAAACTCTTCCGCAAAGATGGCGCCAAAGTCTAACTTCTTTCTCTGATTGGATCTTGGGCAAAGTTGGTTTCGTTGTACTGTCTTGTTTGTTTTGAACTGATTTGACAGTTTGTTATGGACACGGTCAATAAGATCAACCCAAATTTTAGTTCAGTTTACTCATTAATCGCCAACTCGAGTCGCAACATTCCGTATGGCGGCGCTAGTGTTTCTAATGTATTTTAATTGGAATTCTTACACAAAATTTTTCGAAACATTCGTTCAAGCTTGGATGTCTGTTCTCTGTGATATTGCTTCAAAACATATAACTTGAAAATAATAGGCTATGGCGTTTTGACACCTGAAGAAGAGTTGTTTATTTTATGCCATTTCAATGCATTAAATAAAGTTTAATAAAACAAAAAAACATGTTCCACTGAAATGAAGAAATCTCAAATACACCAAAATATACCTCTCTCAAATGTTGATATTTTGTTAAGCGATTATTGCTTTATTTTTGCTGAAAATGTCAGGTTGCGAATTTTTGCGTTTTGGAAGTTAATAAAGTTAAAAAATATCCGTTTTTTTCGTTTTTTTCAACAATATCTTTAAAGTTTGAAGCTATTTATTTAATGCATTTGCATAAAATAAAATATAACATTATATGGTTGTCAGCAAAAAAAAAAACGATTCAGAAAGAAAAAACCATAATCTCGTCATTTTTTTCTTTAACTCCATATAACTCGGAACCAGTAGGCTGTGGAAATTTTACGTCTTCAAAAGAGTTGTTTATTTTGTCAAGGTTAACAACTTTGCCGAAAATACCAAGTATCCAAAACGTCAGAGAAAGAAGTTAGATTTTGGTGCCATCTTTGCGGAAGAGCTTTGAACTATTTGTTTATATCAATAGATGGTTCATATTATGATAAGAAACTTTGCTCAAGAAACCAAGTCGCGAAAAAGCTTCGTTTCGGAGTTATTGATTTTGCTCCACTAGATTGCATTCCTGGCCCAGTGTGCATTGTAATCCCCACTAAAACCTTCAAACCATTTGGGCGATCTCTAAACCTTTATCAATCTTCTCCATATTTTGGACTTATAAATCAACCTGGAGGGTGACCTTGATGATTGCAAATACTTTTTACTAGTGTCTCAGAGTGTTGAAAATTGATCCTAGGATTACCCTATCAATCTTTGAAAGTTCCATTCAAGCATTTTACCTTTTGCAGCAATACTACCGCTACATGCTCGCCGTTAGCGAAGGCAAGCGCACCTTCGATGGCTTCGCCGATGGAATGATCACCACGTGTGCCATCTTTGCCTGTGCCGGAGAGGACCAGAAGTCCTGCTCCACTCGCTTTGAAGATCCTTCCAAAGTCGTGGAAGCCGTACGGTTCAACACGATCGAGATTGTCGGTGCATTTCCGGGAAGTTCGGATGTGTTCCTGTTGCCAAACAGTGTCGATACGAGCATTCTACCGCTGGAGGTCGACGAGATCGAGTACAGTGAGCGATTGTTCACGCAAGATGGGTAAGTAGGAATTTTTTTTGCGGAAGTCACAAATGGATTGAAACTGATTTTTGGGATGTTTTGATTTCAGGGAATTGTATAAGCAAATCCAGTACAACTTGGTCAAGCCGCGCTCTGATCTGTTCACATTCGCCATTTGGGGTCGGAAATTTGTTCACCAAAACAGTAGCGCTCAAGCAACGATCATCAACGGACTGTTAGTATTATTCGCCACTATTTGTGCCATCCTAGTCAAGTAAACGCCATTTAGCGTGTGATTTAGTATCTGATCATGTATTGATACTTTTAGAGAACCATCCCGTGATGAGCTTTAGAATCCGTTAGATGCCGTAGAAGCCGCATTTCCCAAGACCTCACTCAAATATAGAACCTCGGATATCTCAAGTGACATTGAATTTGGCACGCAACCGATATTTACTAAACCCCGGACGGGGTGCGATGTTTATCACTTATTTAGTACTAAACCCCACCGGATTACAGTCCGAGCTAGACAAAAACGCACCCGAGTGCAACTGCAACCTACAATTATTCACGCTTAGTTTTACGCGCTGCTTTCGACATATGTTCCGCCACCGCCGAATGGACAATTTAATAATAGGTGTGTAGTACACGGTTGATGGCAGGAGATTGAACCATTAACCCATAGTAAATGGCAGTAGCAGTGGTAGGTACTCGATTAGGCTTGGAAGTGTGAACAAACGAACATTCAGCAACGTCGTTGTGGGCAATTTCGATATGTCACTGTCGCACGCGCTAGGAATTTGTCATAATCGTTTCTGCAGGAATGAATCCATTGCTTCAGTATTTATTAACACCGAACAATGCCGTCAATTCGATGCGTCTGGTGTCGGCATTTGTATTGAATGCAATGGAGTTTTTTGACACCTTGTTTTTTATATATATATATATATATACATATTTGATTGATGGATCGGATTGAGCAATGGATCATTTTCCTGTGTGATGATGATTGCAGTGCTACCGTGTGAAAAAAAAAACTGGCATGTGTCTTATGTATGAGTATATTATGTTTCTTTTGAGTTCCTTCTGTTTTTGCTCTTATCGTGGATAACTAATTATAAGATTAGTAGCTGTCAAAAACAAGGTTATCAAAAAGTATACGTAAATAAGAGATAAGTAAATCTTCTTCTTCTTCTTTTTCTTCTTTGCATTTCAAGCTTATTGCTTATCCCATATTAGCTTAATGTGTGCTTTCAACTTAGTTTTCTAGATACACTTCCACCGTTACTAATTGAGCGCTTTCAATGCCTGTACTATTTTTACATTAGAATAATTGTGGGGCAAGTACCGAAAAATTCCTAGACTGGACCGGGAATTGAACCCAGCCACCTCCAGTATTGTCTTGCTTTGTAGCTGCGCCTTTACCGGCTAAGCTAAGGAAAGCCCAAATACCATCACCCCCTGGCTACGTACGTACGAATGTTATGGCTCCTAATCATCTACTAATCTGCTAATCAACTGATTACTCATGCCAATATGTAATAATCAGCGCACAACGATGCTAATTTCTTTTGCAGCCTCAATTTGCAAAACTCGTATTTCTGAAGTCAATCGCTACCCACATCCATTGATCGCTTCTTCTTTGAAACCTCTCGAACATGGACCGATCGACATCATAATTGATTTAAAGACTCCAAATTATAACACCCAACGAGGGCAACCGCTTGCGACCTTGCAGAGCGTTTGGGAATTTCATTGCCTGGTCCAAGAGTCGATAAAATTACAAGTCATTCCCATCTGCATTTTTCTATTATTTATGAGTAATGTTTTTTGAGTAGGGGAAATAGGGGCAAAATTACCATAGCATTGTTTGAAGAACTTGCTAGTGTCCGAAAATCAGAACGGTACTCTTTTTCATGTAGTGGAAAACGCTTTACGATCTAAAACTTAATCTAGCCCTGATGAATATCCAATCCCTGAATCGATACGCTGCACAGCAAAAAATTCTGAATTTTAATTGTGATGTAAAGATACATTCACGTAAACTTGTATTTCATTTCATGTAAACGAGTAACTTGTAAGCGATGTTGTTTACACAGATGGGCATTTGTATACAATAATAGCATCATTTCATGAAATATCTCAGAACATTATTCGACTTATAATGTAAACTTATATGATATGTGTCGCTCCATTTATGTGCATCGTATTAAACAGAAATTCACACTATTTTTTCGAACTGGCGATGCAATAACTGTAATCAGCACTATTTTTTGAAGATTTAAAAGCCGAAACAATTGACTAATGTTTAAAGTTCCCTGAAAGACTTTTCTGGAGCTTTCGGTTATTGATCTGTGAACTTCAAATAAGCTCTCTAAATTTCTCTGGATTTCTTAGAACTTTTCAAAGGTTCCCGCAATTTTCATGAAGTAAATTGAACGGCATTGAAGTTAGTTTTTCCCTGTAGTTTTCGAAACTTCTCTGAAGCTCATGGAACTTCCCTCAACATCTCTCAAATTCTCATAATTTTTCGAACTTGCATGAAGTTTTCGTTTCTTCATGAAGTTTCCATAATTTTCAAGAAGTACTCGGAACTTCTCTATCTGAAGACTACGCCATTTTCCTATTTTTGTTTTAACACTTGGATTTTTCATAATTCCTCGAAATATCTTTAATTTTCCTTGATTTTTTTTTTCATCGATCTTGTTTTCCGTACTGAGTACCAATGCTACCGACGCCAGGGAGGCAGCTCCCACACCTAAACCCTACCTATCGACCCATCAACTCATGGACCGGGCACCACCGGCTTTACTATCCTTCCGAAGGAAGGCGTGATCAGATATTTTATGCCTCAGAAAATTCCGGTGGTGCCGACCCAGGCCCTTTGGAGTGAGAGGCAGTCACGCTTACCACTACACCACCGGTGATACTCTCGAAACATCTTGAACTGCTCTGAAGTTCTCTGATCATCCTTGAAGTACTAGGAACATCCCTGCAAACAAAAATGGATCTTTGGTTGAAGATGCTAATTTCAAGTAACAGACTGTAGTGGTAATTTTTATACGATAGATGGAGTAGATTTATAATTACTTTATTTGTACAGGCTCAATCGAATAAACTTTACAGAGCCGAGTTATCCTTTGCGTTATACATTGTTACTGTCTTATATTTAAAGTTAAAGGAACTAGACCGAGTACTCGCGGTCGTCTCGAGGTTAGTGGAGATTTACAATTTTTTGGATGGGAAAAGGGAAGAAGGAGGTTTTAAATGTGGTTTACGATATAACTATTTAATTAATCCTAAAGCATGAAATTATTTCTATTCATCTTGAAAACAAACATTGAAAAAAAACCCCCAGACGTACAAAACACAAACTAAACACAAGGTTAAGCAAACTTAAAATCTAAGGTTAATATCCTTAAAGTAAACATATATGAGTTTCATAAACTCCAGATCGCGTCTAGCCAAAATATCCCGAACTGGAACATTAGGTTGTCTACCTCGAGCCCGAAGGGAATCATAGAAATGTGATCTGACTCCACGATACTCCGCACAAGACCAAAGGATGTGATCAGCGTCCTGGTAACCTTGTCCACATTCACAGAGATTGCTGTCTCCCAACCCCACACGGAACAAGTGAGCGTTTAGACAATAGTGATTGGACATGAGACGAGACATCACGCGTATGAAGTCTCGACTCAAGTCCAACCCTTTGAACCATGCAAACTTCGACACCTTAGGGATAATTGAATGTAGCCATCGTCCCAAGCTCCCTTCACTCCATTGATGTTGCCAGCTAACGAGCGACTGCTGACGATAAATAGAGAAAAATTCACTATAGGCGATCTGTCGATCATAAATGTCGCCTTCCATAGCGCCCACCTTCGCAAGTGAATCCGTCTTCTCATTGCCCAAAATTGAGCAATGCGAAGGGACCCACGCGAAGGTGATGATGAAAGAGCGCACGGATAAAGCACTAAGCAGTTCTCGTATTTTCAAGAGAAAATACGAGAAGTGCTTTACCGGCCTAATGGAACGGATAGCCTCGACAGAACTGAGACTATCCGTAAAAATAAAGTAGTGGTCTGGAAGAAGTGAAGCAATAGTTTCCAAAGTGTAGTGAATTGCTGCCAGTTCAGCCACATACACAGAACAAGGAGCTTCAAGTTTTCGAGAGGCGCTATGAAATTCATTAAATACACCAAAACCAGCGGACTCCCCTATTAGAGATCCATCTGTGAAAAACGTTCTTGCAGAATCAATATGGCCAAACTTTGCAGCGTATAATGACGGAGCAATCATAGGACGATGATGCTCTGGAATTCCGCGGATTTCCTGCGTCATAGTTAAATCAAAATTCACTGAATTGCCGAAATCGGAGAAGACTACACGATTGGGAATATTTCTTGAAGGGCTGACATCCTGTGTTAAATATAGGTAGTACAAAGTCATAAAACATGTTTGAGGATTTAGCTCCAAAAGCTTCTCAAAATTTGCAATCACCAGTGGGTTCATTATTTCGCAACGGGTGAGGACCCTCAGAGATAACTCTGAAAAACGGACGGATAGTGGCAACATGCCCGCCAGCACTTCGAGACTCATAGTATGAGTCGAGTGCATGCATCCTAACGCGATACGAAGACAACGATACTGGATCCGTTCCAGCTTGATGATGTGCGTTTTAGCTGCCGACTGGAAACAAAAACTACCATATTCTAGAACCGATAAAATCGTTGTCCGGTACAACGTCAGAAGATCTTGTGGATGGGCTCCCCACCACGTTCCGGTAATTGATCGAAGGAAATTGATCCTTAATTGGCATTTTCGTCTCAGATACTCAATGTGGGATCTCCAGGTGCATTTGGAATCGAACCAGACCCCGAGATATTTAAAAGACATGGAATGAGTGATCGGTTTACCCAAAAGGTGAAGCTTCGGTTGTGCTGGGCTATGCTTCCTAGAAAAAACGACCAACTCAGTTTTCTCCGTGGAGAATTCGATACCTAGCTGAATAGCCCAAGTAGACAAATTGTCCAAGGTATCCTGTAAGGGTCCTTGCAGGTCAACCTCTTTTGGCCCTGTGATAGACACTACGCCATCATCTGCAAGTTGTCTCAACGTGCAGTTGTCACTAAGACAATTGTCAATTTCTCTAACGTAGAAATTGTACAAAAGGGGGCTTAAACATGAGCCTTGGGGGAGACCCATGTAGCTAAATCGAAAAGCTGTAGAGTTTCCATGAGAAAAGCTCATATGTTTTTCTGACAGCAAATTGTACAAAAAATTATTCATTAATGGAGACAATCCACAAGCGTGGAGTTTCTCTGAAAGAACTTCAACGGATACTGAATCAAAAGCCCCCTTGATATCCAAGAACACAGAAGCCATTTGCTCTTTCTTAGCAAAAGCCAACTGAATTTCCGAGGAAAGCAACGCGAGACAGTCGTTCGTTCCCTTACCCCTACGGAAACCAAATTGAGTATCTGAAAGAAGGTGGTTCGTCTCAACCCATTTGTCGAGGCGAAAAAGGATCATTTTCTCCATCAATTTCCGAATACACGACAGCATCGCGATGGGCCGATACGAATTGTGATCCGACGCGGGTTTATCAGGCTTTTTAATGGCTATCAATTAATTAATTAATTTAGCTTTATTTAGGAGGCTTTCAGCCTTAGGCTGGTTCGCCTCCGAATAAATGGCTATCACCCTTACTCGTCTCCAATCGTCGGGAACAATATTGAGCTCCAAGAACTGATTGTACAAGTTCAACATGCGCCTCTTAGCGACGTCTGGGAGGTTTTTCAGCAAGTTGAACTTGATTCTATCAGATCCCGGGGCAGAATTACCACACGAAAGGAGAGCGAGTGAAAGTTCGACCATTGAAAAAGGGTGACTGATTTCGTCTACCGAATTCGCGGTTTCGCGAGGAATCAACTGCGACGGCACGGAATCCGGACACACTTTTCGCGCGAATTTAAGAATCCATTGATCCGAGCATTCCTCGCTTTCGTTGTTAGTAGACCGGTTACGCATTCTTCGCGCCGTACTCCAAAGCGTATTCATAGACGTTTCGCGCGACAATCCGTCTACAAACTGCCGCCAGTAACCCCGTTTTTTGGCCTTGATGAGGCT